TTGTGGTTCTCCTCATCCCCATTTTTATCCTCACAACAACCCTGTGCGGTAGGCTAAGCTGAGGAACTGTGGCTGGTCCCAAAGTCACCTGGTGAGCTTCATGGTTGTATGGGGGATTTGAACCCTGGTCTCCCAGGTACGCGGGTGGCGCTGTGGGTTAAACCACAGAGCCCAGGGCTTGCTGATCAGAAGGTCGGCGGTTCGAATCCCCGCGACGGGGTGAGCTCCCATTGCTCGGTCCCTGCTCCTGCCAACCTAGCAGTTCGAAAGCACGTCAAAGTGCAAGTAGATAAATAGGTACCACTCCGGCGGGAAGGTAAACGGCGTTTCCGTGCGCTGCTCTGGTTCGCGGCTTAGTCATGCTGGGCACATGATCCAGAAGCTGTACGCCGGCTCCCTCGGCCAATAAAGCGAGATGAGCACCGTAACCCCAGAGTCAGTCACGACTGGACCTAATGGTCAGGGGTCCCTTTACCTTTACCTTTACTCCCAGGTACAAGTTGGACACTCTAACCAGTGCACCAAACTGATTCATATGTCCTTGCCTTCCTTAACTTGGGAGGGGAGATTGTTCTTGGTGACAGGCCTGTTTCTGCTAAGCGAAAAAAATCAGGCAGCTTCCACTCCAGCTGAACCTATTTCAGAAGATTTTCTGGATACAGACACCTCTGACCCAGCTGCACACGGCGCACTCATCAGAAAGAGCCTGCCCAGCCAATACCCAAATTAGTTGCCTTGGTTCTGACTTCCATCCTCCAGGACGACAGCTGGAGCTATGGGAAGTTGAGTATTTCAAGAGCAGTCGGCTGCGTCGGAACTTCACACAACTTTTGAACTCCCCACGAACCATTTGTAAAAGGCCACGGTTCTTTTCAGTTTGGATACTACAGCTCTCAAGCACAGCCTCTGCGTTTGGCATTGTTCCCTCACTAGCCTTGACTTCAAATGTCTTTTGCCCCCCCCTCCATTCACTAGCATTGAATCTGAGTCAGAGCTTAAATGTGGAAAGACATCTAGTGAGAGATTTTGCTGGGAGAGGAGAAACTGATCTGTTAGATTGGTGGGCAGCCGAAGACATGCCCTCTGGTTTTTTTCCACCCACAATGAGGCAGGAGGGTAGGTTGCTAGTTTTATTTTTATTAATTCATACACATGTTATATACACCACCTGGCCATCGAAACTCACTGGATGACCTTGGGCCAGTCACTGCCCCTTAGCCTAACCTATAATAATAATAATTTATTATTTGTACCCCGCTCATCTGGCTGGGTTTCCCCAGCCACTCTGGGCGGCTTCCAACAAAGACCAAAAATACACTAAAATGTCACACAATAAAAACTTCCCTGAACAGGGCTGCCTTCAGTTGTCTTCTGAATGTCAGGTAGTTGTTTATCTCTTTGACATCTGATGGGAGGGCGTTCCACAGGGTGGATGCCACCACCGAGAAGGCCCTCTGCCTGGTTCCCTGTAACTTGGCTTCTCACAGGGAGGGAACCACCAGAAGGCCCTCGGCGCTGGACCTCAGCATCCGGGCAGAACAATGTGGGTGGAGACGCTCCTTCAGGTATACTGGGCTGAGGCCCTACCTCACAGGGCTGTTGTGGAGATTAAATGAGGAGGGAGAGAACCACGGACACCACCTGGAGCTCCTTGGAGGAAAAGGTGGGTCATATATGCAATAAATAATAAGGCTTAATCATAAAAGAATACCAGTGTGGTGCACATTGAGGAATACATGCAGTACAGAGAGGGAAAATACTAAATATGCTCACCCAGATTCAACAAGCAGAAGCTAGCACAGAGGTGCCTGCTAGCTCAGGGGGCTGCCCACCTCCCTGTGCAACCCCCCCACCTCCTCCAAATTCACCCTGGATGTTCAAGAGAACCCCCAGACAGTAAGTGGAGGGAGAGAGGGGGGAGAATTGGTCCATTTTGCAAGTAGAAATGCTTACGTTGAAAGAACAACCAGAAGAGTGTGATGCTGAATTCCTTCCTTAGGGTTGTATCCTGTGTTGGTCACACTCAGAGTAGACCCATTGACATGAAAGGGTACGACTTAGAATCAAAGAATTGTAGAGTTGGAAGGGACCCTGCGGGATCATCTAGTCCAGGCACGGGCAAACTTAGCCCTCCAGCTGTTCTGGGACTACAACTCCCATCATCCCTAGCTAACAGGACCAGTGGTCAGGGATGATGGGGACTGTAATCCCAAAACAGCTGGAGGGCCAAGTTTGGCCATGCCTGATCTAGTCCAACCGCCTGCGATGCAGGAATGTGAAGCTGTCCACATCAAACTTTCAACCTTGGCATTATCAGCACCACGCTCTAACCAACTGAGCTATCCAGGCTGACTTAGGTCCATTAATTTCGACATGGAGCTGAACAGCAATGCATATTGCTTTGCTTACTTCCTTAAGTGCAATGGGGCCCCCTCTTTGAATGGCAATGTGTATTATTTCACTTATTTCTAAATGTAAGCCTTCTCGGCTGCGCTTGGAGGTCCCCCTGCTCATCCTGCTGAAAAGGGCCCTGGGCTCCTCCCCCAAAGTTCTGTGCATAGCTGTCAACTTTTCCCTTTTTTAATCCCTTATTCCGAATAGGATTCCTCGCAAGAAAAGGGAAAAGTTAACAGCTATGGTTCTGCGCTGACAGGACGCCACAGGGATAGACAGCAGCCAGCAAACTAGCAGGCAACGCAGGCCAGGCACTATGGCAAGCAAAACTTCAGCACCACGGACAGCGATCAAGGGAAATAAATGCCCGTCAGTGGATTCAGAAGCCTCTTGAGCTAAGAGATACTGTGAAGACATTGAGTCCAGCTCTCTGATCTTGAACTGGTTTGAGTCTCATGCTCTATGGGCTGAGCAATATAAGAACATAGCAAGAGCATTAACGGATCAGGCCCAAACCCTGTCTGATCTATCGGAATAGATGGAGAGCAAAAAATGAGAGCTGTATAAACTTATAAGGTACTATAGAGGGGTTTTTTGGGTGTGGGTGTGTAAGAATGTGGGGCTTCCAATTCAACAACCAGTGGGTTCTGGTTGCTGTCATGAGAGGTGCAGTTAGTGGTGGGAGCAGAAAACCAATTTTGTTTTAGAGGAGTGGAATAATTAAAAAAGACGTGAATGCCTTTAAGTGGGTGTGCTTGGAACAGGCAGAGAACCAGAGACACTTATTCACTACTCCAAACCACTGGGATGTATGCTAAAGTTAAGTTTACAAAAAGGTGAGCTGCTCTGGGTCAGAGTAAGACCTTTGGAGGCCCTGAACACTGAGAAGATTACAGTGCCCACCACAGATGTAAATAAAAATAAATAAGGAATCAAAAGGGGGGAAGGGGGGGGAAGAGTGTGGAATGTAAAAAAGACTAACAAAGTTCTGATTTTCCCCAAAATGACTAAGGTTTTTTTTGTTTGTTCTGTTTTTAAATAACAGGAACCTGGAAAACACGTATCTTCTTTATACCCAGTTAGACCCTTGGGTTCATCTAGCCCAATAATGTCTACACTGGCTGGTAGCAGCTCTCCAGGGTTTTCTCTTCTAGCCCTACCTGAAGATACCATAGGAGATTAAATTTGGGACCTTCTGCATGCAAAACAGATTATATAATTTAGCACTGGGGATGTTCCAGAGCTGGGAGGAGGAGGAGGAAACAGAGGAGAAAGTGATCTTCTAGCGCATTCTTTGCATCTGTGCTTTTGCAAAAGGTACCCAGATGAATAAAGTCAGCAGAGGCTGCTGGACTAGGTGGGCCTTGGACCGGATCCGGCCCCATGGGGCTCTTGTGATGTTCTTAGGAAAGCTGACATGGAGGAACAGAACGGAAAGGAACCGTGCTATGATGGAGACCGGCTTTCCTTATCCTCTGAAATAACTCAAGGGGGAGGATGGCGTGGGGAAAATCCGATGTTCCTGCTTGCAGGGCATCTTTGGGGCTGTTGGCATAGCCGGGGGGGGGTGTCAGGAAGAAGACCCCCCCCTTAAGCGCTTCGGAGTGGGGGTCACATACTCGTTCCAAAGGAGGAAACCTGGGGCGGGGGTGTCTCCTTGGAGAAGGCGCCTCTAGAGCAGGCCTTACGCTCGGCAGGTAGAGAGGCAGGCAGCCGGCGCAGGCTGCGCGCAGCCCGGAGGGCGCCCCTCGCCCCCTTGCGGAGGGCGCCCGGAAGCACACATCTCCACCCCCAGCCCTCCACCCGCACCGCGGGAGGCCTCTCCGGGCCAGTGGGGCGCCTAGCGCGGCGTCGCAGGGGCCGCCTCTCCCGGGATGGACGAGGCGAGGGGCGCAGAGGCGCGCGTGGTGGGGGCTGCAAAGCGGCCTGGCCGGGCGGGCCTGGGCGCACGCGGCCGGGGGCTTCTTCTCGGCCGTGGCGGACGTGCCAGCCGGTGTGTCCGGTGGTCGCCTTCCTCCTCCTCCTCCTCCTCGGCTGAGCGCCTGGCGGCTCTTCCCCGGCGCTGGCACTAGGGGTCCCCTAGCCAACCAGCCTGCCTGCCTGCCAGCCCCTTCCTGTGCGGCGGCGGCGGCGGTGGCGGCGGCTGCTGCTTGCGGGTCTGAGCAGAGGAGGAGGCGGCGAGCGCGAGCAGGCGGGCGGTGGGGAGGGGAGATGGGGGGCCCGGCCGGTCTGTAGCGCCTCCCTCCTCCTCCCCCGGAAGCGGAGGGGAAAGCAGGAGGAGGAGGGCGGAGGCGGAGGAGGCGGCCGTGGGTGGCGGCGGTGGCGGCGGCGGGGAGGGCATCCCGAGCCCTGTGGCCGGAGGGGGCCCGGGAGGCGGGAGGGAGGGGCGGCAGGAAGGAAGCGGCGGGAAGGAGGAGGAGGAGGCGGAGGAGGAGGCCGGGGGAGGAGGAGGAGGAGGAGGGAGGGGAGGCAGGCGGCCGGGCAGGCGGCGGCGGCGGCGGAGGGAGCCGGGCTGCCGGCCCGGGCAGCAGCGGGGGAGCCCGGTGGCGGCGGCGGCGGTGGAGGAGGCGGCGGCGGCGGCGGCGGGGGGCCCGGCGGCGGAGGTGATGGCGGCCAAGTCGGACGGCAGCGGCTTCTCGCAGCTGCACAACCTCGACGACCACCACTATCACCACCACCACCATCATCACCACCTGGCCGGGGGGGCCGCTGCCGCCGCCGCCGCCGCCGCGGGCCAGGGGGGCTGCGGTGGTGGCGGAGGCGGCGGAGGCGGCGGCGGGAGCTCGGACGACGAGGCCGGCGGGAGCAGCTCCATGCACATCTGCCACTGCTGCAACACGTCGTCGTGCTACTGGGGCTGCCGGAGCGCCTGCCTGCGCAGCCTGCTGGGCCGGGGGGCCGGAGGAAGCGGGTCGGGGGCCGGAGCCTCCGACCCGCTGGCGCCGGGGGCCGGCGGTGGCGGCGGAGGAAGCGGCGGCGGAGGCGGCGACGGGCCGTCGGCGGCGGGGCTGGCGGTGGAGCGGCCGTGGCTGGACTGCCTGTGGATCGTGCTCGCTCTGCTGGTGCTGGTGGGCGACGTGGGCACCGACCTCTGGCTCGCCCTCGACCACTACGGCCGCCGCGACTACCTGTGGTGCGGCCTGACGCTGGCCTTCGTGCTGCTGCCCTCCGTGCTGGTGCAGATCCTCAGCTTCCGATGGTTCGTGCAGGACTACACCGGAGGAGGCCTGGGCGCCGTGCAGGGCCTCACCAGCCGAGGGCCTCCCATGATGGGGTCCGTCGGGGCCGGCCGCCGCGCCGGGCATCGCCACTACCACGGCGCCGGCGGCACGCCCGGAGCTCAGCGCCTCTGCAGGCTCTCCGTCTGGATTTGGCAGTCCGTCATTCACCTGCTGCAGATGGGACAAGTCTGGAGGTAAGCGGACTGGCGGGGCGGGTGGGGGGCTCTCTGCAGGTGGGTGGTTAGGCTTCTGTCTATACCCCCCTCCCAAATATATGTATGTACCTGGAGGCAGGCTGGACAAGGCCAGTCTCCCAACGGCAGGTGGAGGAAGGGATGACCTCAAAGGGTTATTGGGTGCACTCAGGTAAAGGTGTTCTATTCCCTCCCCCCATGAAGGCTTTTGAAGAAGGAAGCAAGATCCCCCCCTTCCAAGTAGAGACAGGAGAGTGACCCTCATCACTTCTCAGAAGGGCATGAGGGACAGTGGTGGGGGAGGCAAGAGGAAGCCCCCCCCGACTTTGCACATCTTTGGCCCCAGGAAAGGGTGACCCCCCCCTCCTTCCTTTCTGCACCTGGAGGGGCAGGGAAAGGAGGAAGGCAGACAGGTGACAGGTGGAGCAAGGTGATTTCCCTGCAGAACTGTTTGGATGAGCTTATTCCTAGAGAGAAGGAAGACCCAGGCTGGGCGGGGAGGGGGGGAGAGAGGTGTACCCCCCCTCCTGTCTCTACATGCATCTACTGGAGTCATGGGAGAGACTGGGGACGAATCCCCCCCCTTCCTGAAACACAGGTAGCGAAAGGTGATCACATCTTCTGATTCAAGAGCTTCTGGAGCAATGGGAAGCCAGCCTCCAGAATTTGGGCCAGAGATAGGGTGAGCTTAGCATTCACTATGGTAAAGGATACGGGCTTAACCCTCCTTCAGGATATTTCCTGTATGCACTATGAGGAAATAGGATACCAGAATAAACAGATAACAGGTTAGAGTGGACATGTACCTGGAGCCCTCTCCCCTCCCCCCTTTTTTTTGCAAAGGAAGCACACAGTATATAATTGGGTGTAGCAGGAAAACGGGGTGCTTTCAATGCACACCTAGTCAATACCTATTCCCAGACTTAATCCCCATCACCCATCCCAAAAAGCAGCAAGACTCACCTCCCAGATTGCGCTAGTGCAGTTGGGATATTTGAAGAAGGAAGGTAATTGCACACTGCTATATAAGTTTCACGGATATTGGGGTGAGGAGGGATTTCCCCCCTTCCAAAGACTGAGTTCACCCCATAAGAGAGCACCCATGGGTACAGTTGCCCTTGGATACTGGCACAGAGGAGAGGTGATATTCTGGGGCAATTCACAGGCTCAAGGGCATCTCCACAAAGCGGGTCACCTGAAGAAGACATCTGGCCAAGTGTCTTTAGATCTGGTCTAGAGAGAAAAGGTGTTCTGCACAGCCTCTAAAACATGGTATCATTTTGTACAGGTGGACATAGGGAGGACTGCCCCACAAACGTGATTGTGGGGTGGGGAATTTGGCATTCTCCGAGGCTTGGAGATGGAGAGGGTATGAAGTCAAAGGAGAGGAAGGCCAGTTGCTGGTCCTCTACACCAGTGTTTCCCAACCTTGTGCCTCCAGATGTTTTTGGCCTACAACTCCCATCATCCCTGACTAGCAAGACCAGTGGCAAGGGATGATGGGAATTGTAGGCCAAAAACAGCTGGAGGCACAAGGTTGGGAAACACTGCTCTACACTACCGCTGTACTACAATTCCCATCATCCCCTGGACCATTGGTCCTGCTAGAAGGGGCTGATGGGGGTTGGAGTCCAACAGCACCTGCAAGGCCTGAGAGCCTCGTCACCTTGTGTGGAATGAAATGCCTTAAAGCCGCCATAGCAGAGAGGTGAAAGACATTCCACCCTAGATGCCTCCTGGGATGATAGAACTTTTGTAAGCATTTCCTGGAAGAGGCCTTTTTTGGACCCTGGTCATACCTTGAACCCAAACATGCATTTATGGAGCCTATTCTCTTTCTGTGTGTAAGAAGATTCACATGGCGCCAATGCTCCTGTTGTGGTGAACTGCAGGTCAGGCTGCAACCTAGTTGTAGGTCCTGACCCATCAGTTGAGAACCTGGGAGAAGTGGGAGGGGAGCATCTTCTCCCTTCAGCCCTCCTCCATTTGGAAGGCACCAAGGTTGTAACCCAGCAACATTCTCCCTTGTCCCCCATTGGACATAGGGGGCTCTACCCTTGAATAAGGAACAGCTGTGGGGTGCAAAAAGGAAAGCACCTTACCCCGTATTTTTCTGGGGCTAGAAGACTGGATTTCCTTATGGCGTCTGCATGTGGCAGAGAATATTTAAATGCATTTGTACCAAAGAGAGAGAGAGAGCCATCAAAGAGTGTGTTCTCCAGTATGGGCTTTAATGATTTGAGATGTCCAGATAAATTCTCTGCACATGCAAGTGTGAGCAGAAAGTAGGGCAACAGAGAAATGGCTCCCTCCTTAAGACATGGAGGCATCTTTAAGGGTGTGTGTGTGTGTGTGTGTGTGTGTGTGTAATTCAGAGTTGTGGCCACCAAAGGGTGGTTTACCTCCCAAATGCAACATTATATATAGGCCCAGAAGGGCTCTCCGTCTCTCTTTACCTGCTATGCACAGAGCAATGAGGGCCTTTAGGGCCAGCTCTTCAAGAGAAGACCCAAACAGTAATATCCCAGAGAAAGTACCGATGCCCTAATCGGAACACCTGTACCTTGCATCTCACACTGGAGGGTGGCCACGGGTCTTCCCTGTGGGACAGTGCTCACGTGTGGATTGACGTGAGGATTTGTGAATGTGGAGCTAGACTCCCTCCTCCCCTCCCTGTCCTTACACCTCCCTCCTCCCCAAATTCCACCCACATGGTTTGGCTACGTGAAACCCGGAGTAAGGAGGAGGACAGTCGATACCACTGCCGGACAGAGGGGGAGCTCTAGGGTAGGGTTGGCTTCGGCTTTTTAGAGAGGAACTGTGGGGAAAGATGCAGAGGGTGTCCTGGAGAGACCTTTGCTAAGATGGGAAACCTTTGCAGGGAGAAGATGGAGAAGGAATTGGGGGGGGGCCTGCAACGAAGGCCTTTTCCGGTGCACCCACCCAGGCTTGCCCACCACCTAACCGTTTCCCTCAAACATGGTCGTCATGCGTCTTTATGTGCACACGCCGGACCCTCGAGGGTTTTGCAAATTGAAATTAAAAGGGGGGTGGTCGTAGCAAGATGCCAAAGTGAACGCTCTTTTTCGTCTCAAGTTTTTGGGCAGAGATCTGAGAGGGCATGAGGCGTTCTGGAGAGACTCTGGGCTTACGTAATCTGAATCAGAATAAAGTTTGGAAGATGAAATGGTTTAGGAAGCCCCTTGCCTTAGAGATGTGCCTATGTGCGTACGTGGATGCCTTGCTCATCCACATGTGCGCATGAAATTAGCAAGTGGAACAAACTGAGCTCTCTTCCTTGCAATCATTTTATGTGTCTGTGTATATATGATGAAGATGTAGTCAAAAATATAAAAAAACAGAAGGAGTTTAGAAGGAGGAGGAGGAGGAAAGGAAATGGAGGGTTAACCGATGTGTTCCTTTAATGACTGCTTTAAATATATATTTGTATATATTGGTGGTGAAATAAGGAGGGTGGAGGGCTAGACTGTAACAATTTGAATTGATTGAAGTGGGGAGGGGAGCGGGGAGATGGTTGATGCCCAGCGATGGTTTGATGCTCAGTGATGTTCAGATTAATTGGAAGGGCTAAGCCAGCCCCGGCAGAATTCTCTGGATTGGCTTTGAACCGATTTAAGATGGAGGCAGCCTCTTTGAGAGGGTGGGGAGAAGACAGGTTGGTGCTGGTGTGTGTGGGGGGGAACATCCAGGGGGGGGAATGGAGATTGCACAGCAAAGATCTTTCGGAGAGGGGCGATGAAGGAAGGAAGGCACCCGCTTGTGTGTGTGTGTGTGTGGCTTGTATGAAATTGCAACCCTGGGAAAAACGCGACGGTGAAAACATGCATCACAGCAGCATAGATTTCCTTGCTTTCCCAAAATGTCATTCGCACCTCTCCTTGCAGAGGAGATCCCTTTTGCATGGCCTTATTTTCTCCATGCTAGCGTGTTTAGGGGAAAGCAAGAGGGTTCTCCCCCCCTACACACAAACCTTCCCCAAGAGATTTGCTTGTGCCACGAGAAAAATGGACGTGTGCCAAGTTCGTTTCTCCTCCTGTGGTGTACCCAAGCACCAACCACATGCACCAGTCCTCAGTAGCCGCTGGAGTAGAACACGTGTCTGGCATGTTGTGGGTCTCATTTTGGGGGGCAACTGTGTGAGTGCTTGGTGGTGTGGGCTGATCCCGATTCCACCTCCTTTCCCTACCCACCCTTCCCGAAATCCTGTGCCATGTTGGAACAAATGATGCTGGTGAGATCCTGGGGTTCTGATGGCACCCCAGCTGGATTCACGACATGGGACCACGCATTGCCTACTATGCGCTATTGCGCTGATCTCAGAGGCTCTGAATATTCGTTGCAACCAAGTCGAACACTTGGTTTTCCTCCAAACTTTCCTATCTGGAACGAGGGGTGCGGGTTAAAACTGGCGTACGTTGGCTCTTTCGCTATGGATTAGCAGAGGTGGCTCTGTTTGGAATCCCGGACAGCCGTCATATCCATTGAACAAATGCGTAGAGGTAACCGTCGTCAACCTTTCGTGGTTGTCATTTTGTATATTCTTAATTTTTTTTTAATGCCTCCTCGCTGGCTGTTATGACCGTCATGTGAATTACTCCTGGATGCCGCGGTGTGGCTAATCCGTACAGACACTGTTTAAAGCTGCCTTTGCCAGCGGCTAAAATCTTTGCATATTGGACTGGTGAAATGTTTGCATTTGGAGGGGTTTGCTGGGGGGGAGAGAGCGGGGACTGACTCAGTCATTGCAAACGAAGCAGTATCAAGCTTGCTTACCTTTCATGGTGATTGAGGCGAAGGGAGAGGGATGCTTGCTCACTGGTGTGGCACTTGCTTCACATGCAGAAAGTCCTCGGTTCAGTTTCCAGCCATGGCTGGGAATGTCCCCCTGCCTGAAGCCTCGGAGGAAAGCTGCCAGTCAGTGCTGCCAGTATTGAGCTCAAAAGGGGCTGACTCAGTTCAAGGCAGCTTCGTACGCTCTT